ACTTAGCGGTCGGGTTCCCGAAGATTCAGGTGGACAGATAGAATCGTAGAATCTTCCAGCCCAGAAGGAGGCCATTCGGCCCATTGGGTCCGTGCGGCTCTTTGAAAAGAGCTTCCAAATCAATCTCTGCGAAAGAGCCACCAACTAGTCCCACTCCCCCACCCGTGGCCTTGCACAGGTTTCCTGTACGAGTACCCATCCCATTCCCTTTCCCGCGGTATCGAGGGATACGGAGCAAAGCCGGGTAATTGGGAGTTGAGGCGAGCAGATCAACCGTGATCCAGTAAGAATGGAACAGGCTCCAGGGGCTGAATGGCCTCCTCCTGTTTCTATGAAACGGGAAAGATTCTTATTTTAATGCCTTAAAAAATCCTCTGCTGCCCTTCCCATCCCATCCCATCCCCACCTCCCCCCCCACCACTCCCCACCCCTCCCCCCAACATCATCTGTAACTGCGGTTATTTCGATTTTTTTAAAGAAAAACAAGGGAATATGATTAAGGGCGTTGACTTTCTAAATGACTTGTGTTCACCTCTTGCCAACCTGCGCCTGTACCTAAACTCCGCGGGATTAGTTGAGCAGGATGTGTCCCTCCAGGGAGAGAGAGAGAGGGAGAGAGAGGGAGGGAGGGAGGGAGGGGGAGAGAGGGAGAGAGAGAGGGAGAGAGGGGGAAGAAGAGAGAGGGAGGGAGGGAGAGAGAGAGGAGGGAAGGAGAGGGGAGAGAGGAGAGGGGCGGCTCACTTCACTCGGGGCGGACGCCTCGAAGCCCGCGTGGCGACCGCGTGCTCTGGGGGCCGGCAGGGCCGCCGACTTGCGCCCAGTGACGGCCCGCGAACAGCAGTGAGTGACCGCTTTGATCCGGGGCAATAGTCGACCAGGACACCGAGAGAGAGAGAGAGAGAGAAGAGAGAGAGACGGCTCACTTCACATCGGGGCGGACGCCTCGAAGCCCGCGTGGCGACCGCGTGCTCTGGGGGCCGGCAGGGCCGCCGACTTGCGCCCAGTGACGGCCCGCGAACAGCAGTGAGTGACCGCTTTGATCCGGGGCAATAGTCGACCAGGACACCGAGAGAGAGAGAGAGAGAGAGAGAGAGAGAGA